TGGCGCGGGGGTGGCTTTGTTGGGGAATCTTTACTGTCACCCTTGGCGGGTAAGGGCACCGGGGTGATCCGGCCCTGACCTCCCCGTGAGGTGCTTCGCGAGCCCTGCGGCACTGTGGAGCAGCCCCTCCTGCCCGTACCTCCCCTGGCAAGAGGCCTCGTGCTGTCCCCTGTGCTCACACACAGCCACAACCCGGGTTTTAGCAGGACAACTGTTAGCAGAGCCCTGGTGACACAAGAGGACACTGCTGTCCCCTTCGTTTTGCGGTTGTTCCCCCGAGCTCTCCTTTCTCTTGCAGTTTGTGCTGAAGCACAAAGAGTTCGCTCATCTCCGGGAGGTGAAGGTGTTTCCCAACGCCCTCAACCCACACAAGGAGGAGTCGCGGGCACTGGTCAAAGCCATGATTGACCAGGTTATGGCACTGCACGAAGACTTAAAATGGTTTCACATTGGATGCGACGAGGTGCGACTTCTCTTGAGCCAGGAATATTTTTTTTGTGAGGAATGATGGTAAAGACCGAGGCTTCTGCATTTCAGTGGTGCCCAGACCACGTTTGGGTAGGATTCTGGGGACAGAAAACACCAATTCAAGCCAGTGTAGAAAAGTTGTTTTGACAATAAATGATTCTGCTAGCATGGGATGTCATTTCTATTGAACTGAGTGTAATATCGAAAGTTTCTTAAAGCTAACTCAGCATTTGGTTTTAGGTCAAATGAGTATTTAAAGTGAGATATCACTTGAAGGCATTCATTAAGAATCATGCGAGTTTAGATGTAAGATGTTGGCTCATTGTTCTAGCCAGCTTATTCAAAGTAAGCCCTTTTGTGGTGGGAAGTGGTTTTTTTTTCCTCTTGGTAGTTTGTCTCCTTGAGGAGGAGAACCTTGAGTTTTCTCCTTTCTCAGGGTTTCTTAGAACCAGCCCTATAGCACGCAGATCCCTGAAATTCATTGTCATCACCTTAACTGTACTGATATTAGTTTAGCATTTTGAATCCTGTTGTTTGGGAACAAATGGCAAGGTTAGATAGGGACCTGCAAGCTTTTTTAAAGCAAAATACTATTTATGTAGAATAAACGTGTTTTAGATAAAACCTGCTCTAAAACAACGAAGAGTTTAAATGCATATCCAGCTTAACAGGCCCAAATCCACTCTCTGCATAGGACCAAGAATTCTGGGGCCACTCTTGGACATGCCCCCACATCACTTCTAGATTCACGGACAAACGATCTCTCCCCAAGACAGGAACCTCGTTTTATATAATTCAGGACCTTATGGGTTGCTGGATTTGAATTGAGTAAAACTGGTGAGAGCTACTTCCAAGGACAAACCTTCCAAAGACAAATACAGCATGCTTTAATTATTCTTTAGATATTTTAGTTCCTATAGGAAAATCCCCTTACATGGTGCATTTAGTTGGGGCCGTAGTCTCCTGCAGACTGGTAGAAATGCTTGCAGTGTCTTCAACACTGAGAGGTGCTTTTAAATATGTCCACTCAGTGTGTCATATCTTTGCAATAGGTTTTGAATATCGTATGATTTCATGACACTGTGTCAAACTCGCTCCCCCTATTCCTATAAAAGAAGTCAGGATTATTTGTTTGATGTTTCAGGTCTACTACCTCGGCGAAGGAGAGGAGTCAAAGCAGTGGCTGCAGCAAGAAGACAACACTCCAGAGAAGCTGTGCTTATCCCACATAAAAGCAGTAGCAAGTTGTGTGGTCTCGTCTTACCCCACTGTGACGCCCATCGTGTGGGATGATATGCTCAGAGGGATAAGTGAGGAAACATTGGCAGGTGTGTGGCCGATGATGGGGTGAGTCATATTTTGTAGCATACGAAAAGGTTTACACAACCAGTTAAAACAGATTTGTTGGCATTATTATGAAAATAATGAAAACAAGAAATCTGAGAATAGTTGAGGTACAATCCATTAGACTAGAGAGTAGAGATGTTTAGTCCTTGGCTATGTCACAGACTTTCTGTATGACTGTGGGCAAGACTCAACACATACACTTTAGTTTTCCATCCGGTAATACACAGTGACAAACGAAACAGTCATCATGCAGTGGTTGCCACCAATTCTACTTTCTTTACACATTAAAAAAAAGCCTATTAGCATTTGTGGTCTCAGCCTGAATTTCTGTGCCTTTCACCACCTTTTAATGTCAGTTGTTGCTCTGCACAGCATCTGGTTCCAGTGGTGCAGACTCACACGGAGAAGCTGCGACCCTGTGAGCGTCTTTGACAGTATAGGTGATCACAGCGTCACATCATGAGGAACTTGATACTGAATTGTGGGATAGCTCCAAGACCTTGACGTCACGAGTCTTGTTTGTTGAAAAATATGAAGCCACTGCTAACATTTGAGTAGTCCTAGCATAGATCGCGTTCCAGCATTTTCAGAGCCACCTTATGTGTCTGCTGTAAATAGAGTTAGACAGTACCATGACGAGCTCCTCCAGCAGTGACTGACCTATTCATGGCTTTAATAGTGGGAAATCATCCAAAAAATGCAGACAGGACCCATGCAGTTTCCACAAGAGCAGCACAGCATCTACTAAGTGCGCTGTACTGCCACAGGCAATCACAGACTAAACAAGTTAAAATGGGAGGTAGTTAAAATACTGAATTTCTATATAATTTACTGCAGTTTTTCTAGGGGTCGGTTTCTCATGTTTAAAACTAGTCAGGGAGTTGATTATGAAGGGATTTGAAGCTAAACCTCTATCTTTCTTTGTACTTTAAAGGCATCTTGAAAAGCTAAGTTCTGTGCAAACACAGCTCAGACTATCTCTAACTTAAAGGGTGAATACTTCCTTTGAATTTAGCTGAAATCTTGCATGTACAGTTTGCAGCTCCACCAGTTCAACCCAGCAGGTATACTTATGATTCAAGGGACTAAGAATGAGATGGGCTTGGGATGACTGGGATCTCCGATGAATTGTCACTGCTGATCTGTATTAGTGGTTTCAAGATGTCTGAGGACTTAGTGGCCCCCGGTATGCGAACCCGCGTGTTCAAAGCCCTGGCCAGGCTGAAAATGCTCGTGGGCACTTCAACTGTAATTGAAGAATTCTAGTGACAAGCCATAGTTAGTTCTAGTCATGTGTTACTGCACCAATAATATGTACTTAGTTCTCACTTTTAACTGGCCGTTTTCCTTTACTTAGAACAACTCTGTGCTTTTCAGAGTCTGGGGTCCCACAGCTTGTGCAGCCGATGATCTGGGACTATGCAGCAGACCTCGACGTGGAGGGCAAAGGTTTGTACTTCTCTGCTGAGCTGCTTAGAAGCAAAGAGCTCTCTTACCTGTTAAGCAAAACAGCCAAAACAAAACAGTATGATTAAAACATACTTAGTTGGAGACCAAAAATTTCCATTTTTGTTAAATTGCTTTTTATTGCTTTAGTAGCACAAACGTAGTCCTTGTTTGATTTCACATAATAGTTGCTATTTATTTTCTTTTTCTATTTATGCTTCTCCTATGAAGGACTTGCATTGTTTGCTGCTTAATTCTTTTTAACAGGGCTATGGAATTACTAATGGGAGATTGAGAGGTTTTTCACAAGCACTGTTATATTAACTCTCCTTACATTAAAGCCAGTGGGAGCAGATAGCTCCGTGTTGAACAGCTCTACAAAAGAAGCTTCAAGGCTTCATACATCTATAGACTTCAAAGGAAAAACTCCTAAAGGCTGCAATCAGGCATCTAACATGCATACAAATATTTTTTTGCTGAAAGAAGAATCAGTTGTTCATGCTCGTTACATGCCCATGGTTCTTGGCATTGAAGCAATTCAAGGGAATGGAATATAGTTACTGGGCACATGAAATAGGAAGGCAGTCACCGAAACAGGTTGCTCAGAGAGGATGTCAAATCTCCCATCCTTGCTGATGCTCAAAACTTGACAGGACAAGGCTCAGCAGCCTGCTGTAACTGGACCTGGGTTCCTGTTAATTGGAGCATTACAGTCAATGCTGAAAATGGAGAAAAACTTGTCCCGTCAATGTTCTTTTGTGCCTTATTTCAGTGCATCTCGTAGAGAAGTATCGTAGATGTGGCTTCTCCAAGGTGTGGTTTGCTAGTGCTTTTAAAGGAGCTACAGGAGTGAATCAGTCTCTAACGCTTATTGGACACCATTTAAAAAACCATCTTCAATGGCTGAAAGTGGCAAGCAGTAGCCCCGCTGATATCCTTGAAGGTATCGCGCTGACCGGCTGGCAAAGGTAAGGAACATCTTTTTAAATGGTTCCGAGGATCACATGGAAGCAAACTTCCACCCAAAAATTCGCTAAGAGGTACAAGGAGGCTGGGGATTTAGAAGGGAACTTTGCAACCCTGCAATCCTTCCTGTTGGTTCCTCACCCAACTGACCGTGAAGGGTGGATTTCAGAGTTCCAGTCAACTGCTACAGCATTAATCAGCAGGAGCAATTGTTTTGGCAGACACGAACAATAGCAGATTGGATTTGAAGGCTTGAATGTACTTTGTGCCACCTTGGACTGCTTATAGACAGCATAGTTAACACAATGCATGGTGCATATCTGAATGTCTAATGTGAATTCAAATAGAATGAAGTTGCATAAGAGAGAAGAGTTTTTTAATGTAATGAAGGAGTAAAAGGTTTTTATGCAACAGTCGGGAGGTCTAAGGGAATACGAGAGCGCTGAATTCCAATTTGTGACCCTAATTTGGCTTGAGAAAGGAATTTGGTTTGTATCTGTTCTTATTAGTAAAACTAATGCCTTAGCATTTCAGAGATAGAGGGTCCCTTCTCTGAGACAGAAACTGATGTTTCTAAAGCTCTTTGAATTTTAGTGATTGAAATATTAACGCTTCCCACTTGTTTAGTATGCTCTAACAGTAAAATGTCTAATGAATGTTTTCTTATTTAGGTATGATCACTTTTCTGTTTTGTGTGAGCTTCTCCCTGTGGCAATTCCATCATTGGCTGTATGTCTGCAGGCACTAAAGAATGGTACAATGAGAACTTTATTCTCTCTCAGCTAATGCCTAGCACAAGAGTGAAGTGACCTTGCCCTAAGGTTGGCACAGGCTTCTTATATTCCAAGGTGGTTTGACTATCTGATCATGGTCTGAACTATGAACAATAAATTACACATCTTGCATGTTTGCAGTACAGGAGCAGAGAAGCCTCTTGGCCTAAGGTATTTAAAAATAGCCATAATATACTAATCATTTATTATGTTGTAACCCGTAAATGGTCAGAAACGTCTTCATGCTTATACTTAAAAAAAAATTAAGAAGCTGAATTGCTTTTGAAACTGATTCGAAACACTGGTATATCAATGAGACTAATTTTGTTTAGATTTAGATCTTGTTTACATGTAAAAGTTGTTTTAACTAATCAATTTTCTTAAAATTGATCTAGGTAGTACACTGGTAGAATACTTCCTGTAGTTTCTGGTTTCTTCACAGGCAGTTGCCAATAGACTTTTTATTTTTGTCTTTCTGCATTTCTTATTTTCAAAATAAAAAACCACAACCTACCTATTTTTAACTAAGGCACTAAAAATATTCAGCACCCTGAATGGAAAGCTCATAGCTAGGAAGTACTTTACCTAGCACAAGACAATTGTGTGAAAGACAATGTACACCTCCCACCCCCAAGTTTTTTTACTTGTTCTATTTCCATTTTACCTTTTAAAAAAATCTTCATCCAAGGAGAATTACTAAGCCAATGCAGGGTACTCCGGAAAAACCCTCTTTTAGAACATTTTGGTTATTTAGGCTCCTTTTACTTATTTCCACTGTCTTCTGCCAGGTGGCTATTCTGAAAAGATTAAAGAAAATGTGGAAAAGCTCCTGGGAATGTCCAACCTGGAAACTGAAACTTTCATGAGGTAAAATTCCAGCTGTGGGATTCAGACGCTTTTCATTGCGTAGTGAGTTCAGAAACTAACGGATCTTCTTTGGACAGCACAAGTCTGGGGACCTTTCCTGGGAGCAATATCCTTACGCTTGTGACGCAAGTGAGTTTCTACCTCAAGTCATCAGTGGATGAACTTCTTGAAAGGAACAGGTAATGAGGTGTACGTTGATTCTCTGGCTGTCTGCAGGAGTGTGGGAGCTGTATCATCTCAAAATGGGGCATAACTCCAGCAAAGTGATTTAAACATCAAGCTCTGCCTTTCAGGCATCACATCCCTATATATTGACACCTCAGCAGAATGTAAGACTTAGATGCAAATTTAAAGTATTTCAGCAGACTTCCTAAACACTACGTGCTGCCTTATTTCAAGAATGAAGTTCTTTCCTGAATTAAGTCTTACTGTTATTTGAAGTAAAAATGAATGCTTTTAATGGTGTGGTTGCCAAAAAAAGGAGCTTGAAATGAAACTTAAATTGCAACAGATGATCAGTTAATTCTCATCTGCCAGGAACAGTCTTTTACAAGCTAGTTCCAAAGATACATAGACTTAAATTTACTTACTCCTTAAGCGTTGTCTCTATTTGTGCAGGAGAAGCTCAGCTAAAGCCCTATCACCTCCCTGTCAGCCTACAAACACGTATGTCGTTGCTGTTTCAAAACTGCTCATACTAACATTCATTTTCAGATATGTCACGGGCTGGTTCAGCCCCTACCACAGAAAAAGGAAGATTATTCATCCTATCATAATGCATCACTTTCAGCCAGATGCAGTAAGGTAACACCACTTATTTTGCATTATAGGGGAAATAAAGTCTGTCGTATTTTGGGCACTCAAGGGCCCAACGTATAGTTTTGAGTCCTTGCCTCTTTCTAAAATTATTTCAGAAGCATCAGTGGAAATCAAACAATATGAAGTATTCATAATACGGTTTTAAACAGAAGAACACGTTTATCTTTGCCTTCTGTTGAACAAATTCTTTGAATATAAGTACAAAATTGGTCTCCGAAAAGCTCTCCCTTGTATATGCAGTTACTCCTATATATAGAGACACTGCATCTTACAGCAGTTGTTACCCTCAGTGTAGAAGCCCACCGTGGGCCAGGTTCCAGGCAGGGCTTGGAATAAAACCAGACTCCTTTCCCCTGCTCCCTGTCACTGTACGTGCTTTTCAGAACTTGTCCTAAAGGTGATGCTGATTCACGGTAAATGGCTAATTTATATATTTTTTACAGTGATAAGGTGAACATCCAACTGCATCCACTCCTGCAGATAAAAACCAGAATTAAATTCCCAACAAGTCTCACAGCGGGTTTCAGTTACACTTAAAATGTGTATAGTGGTTTTTTGAGCTCGCATTTCTGTACTTTAAAAGTCATTGCATAAGAAAAGTGCTAAGATTAATGGTTCTTAAACACAAACAGCATCAACCTTTTGCCATCTGCACAAAATTAAGTCCTTTGAGCTCTTGTAATAATGCTTCTTTTCCTGTAAAGTCATTTTAAGGATGTACTCCCTTTAAAAGGCCCAGTAAGCTAGCCCTCCCTTGAGGCAGAGCTCAACTGGAAATGTGATTGTTTCTTCCTTTTGATTTCTGCTTAGTCTTCTCTCCAAGTGGAATGCTGTGGTGCAAGACCTCCAAGCAGCCATGGAGCAAGTTTTCCACAAGTGTACTGTAGAGGAGTGGATGGAGGAGAACGTCCACCCCAGCCTACAGAAGCTGCAGGAAGTGGTGGATGATTTAGATAAAGCAATAAAAGCACAAAATTAGGGGCATTTCAATTAGTCTGTCTTATTCCATGGGAAAACATGGCTAGTGGAAATCTGTAACTAGTCATATAGCTAGAGTTTGTCATCTTAAGAGTTAAATCACCTGCCCTGTAAGTCAGATTTGCTCCCCCTCCATAACAGAATGCAGGAATGAGTCAGAACTCAGCTATATTACAAGGCAGGAGAAAAACCCAGTTTCTTCCAAATTCAGTATTTGTAGTAATAGACTTCCTTACATGACAATGACCTGGAAAAGTTCCACGAGTTCTACTCTAGTCAGTAACCAGGATGTCCTCCCTTTGCAATTTCCATAAAAAGACAGATTTAGGATACTTTAAACATGCTTGAGGTCCTTATGGTCTGTACTGTGACTCACTCCTCTCTCAGGTATGTTCAGAGATGTGTCCTACCATTCCATCATGACAAGCCCTTCCACAGCATATAGCAGCTGATTTGCTCCATTTTGTTTTGGACTTTTTCAGTCTTTGAAATACATAAAACCATCGGTCCTAAATCCAGCTTTGATTAGCTTGAGATCAGGAAATGAACATCCAACTTTTTGCACAAGTCTGAGCAAGGAACTGCTGCCTAGATGCTCCGTGGGTTACAGCGGACGCATGAAAGAACATGTACCATGACAGCACAGAGCAAGAGGGAGCTATAGAAAAGGGCCTTGTTGCCAGTAGTGAAGGTGACACTTGGATTTGAGGGAAAACTGCCTTAACACATTGGGCTTCTTGACATTTTATCAAAGCACCATCTAAGGTCAGCATAGTTTCATGCCCACAGAAAAGCACCATCCCAGTCACTTTAAGGCATCTACTTTGCTGTGTAAAACCCGAGGCTGCAGGTTCATCCAAATTTGAAGCATGACTGAAGTCTACTGAGTATGAGGGAAAAATGCTGGTTTCTTTTGCTTTAATGTTAAACTTTTAATAATGTATAGCAATATATTTTGTGGACTTAACTGGAGCATCAAGATAATCATCACAAGGGAAAATAATTTAAAAGTCTGGTAGTTAAGTACACTACCATGAATATTCAAAATATTGTTTACTTGTTTGCTTTGTTTATTGCTTTCTTGAAAGTCTTATTTTGGAAGCACAGGTATTAAAATTTTCTTGGAACAATCTATTATCAAGAGCATAGCTCTAGATACAGAAAGTACAAGTAGTACAGCGTAAGACAAACCTGACTTATTTAATGAGAGCTACAGGAGTTAGATCCACATGCAGATTTTTATCTAAAAAGAATCAATTGCTACATATACCTTAACTACAAAAGTCACATACCTTGAACTAAACAAGATCTTAATTTATTTTAATAAATCCTTTGATACTCAAAATGTTTGTGGGAACTTGCCTTTGTTTTGCATGTGGCATGTTGGTTTGGTTTAAAGAGGGAAAAAGGCAAATATATTCACCAGTGGGGAGCTGGTTGTATCAGCTTATACAAAATTGAAAGCTGGAATGCTGTAAAAGAGTGAAAGAGGGTCAGTAAGGAGGTAGGTATTTGGGCTTCCTCTACTCTGTCCTCCCCCCATCAACTCCTTCAGTAGGTCTGTGCCAAGTGGTAATTTAGACAGCCATTAATATTTTAATACATTTTAATTAAAAGCAATATAAAAGACTACAGTGACACAAAACAAATTATCAAAGTTGATTTTATCAATGGACATATTTTTAAAAAAAGACAATATACAAAGCCTTGCTGAAATTCTACTTGCAATTTTAAAGTAGAAAAGCAATTTCTAAACATTTTCCAGAAGTATTTTTGCCTCTCAGCAATCTACTACAGTGTCAGAACTAGCACTCTTTACTATGTAAGCCAGCTTATTTTCTGGTGTCTGTGTAACTTCATAAATACAGCGCAGGAGTCAGATCTCAGCTATATAGTATAAATACTTTGATTTCCTTTGAGACTTGCACAATTAGTTACTAGTTACCGAAATATCTCATTTTATGAAATATCAGAATATTAGATTATAGCTTAGATAATGCAACTTTCTCCCTTTGTACAACATGCAGTCTAGCTTTTGTTCAGTATGACAGCTAAGGCCATGATCCCATCCAACCACACACATGCAAGTAACTTCAAATGTGCTACTCAAGTTTAAGCTGAAGCATCTGCCAAATGGCACTTATCATACAGTTTTATTAACTGAGATAATAGAAAGTGTTGGCTTTATGGAGCACGGGGTTAGATCCAACTTAAAATCTTTTATGCACGTTTTCAAATAATTTCTAAGTCAAACTACAGCAGCCTAGTCTCAAGCTACTAGACAGCCCAAGATGCAAAAACCTTAACAAATACAGCTCCTATAATATTCTTCTAGGAACTCCCAATTTCCTAACCAAAACTAGTCTTTCACATTCATTCCTTTTAGTACAAGCCACTTTACATCAGGCACACGTAAGGCTATGTTTACAGGGCCTTTTGATATGCTAGGCCCAAGAGAAGCGAGGAAAACTATCCAAAAAAGCCTTCAGTGAAATGGTGAAAAGCAGCAGGAAAAGAGGATCGGAGAGAGGACTAGTGGAAAGAGGGAAGAACAGAACCTGTCCTGAGTTAGCACCTGTGTCCAAAACAGTTCCTTCAAGCTGCATCACACTGCTGAAGAGTCTGCAGACATTGCCATAACCAAATCCATGTTAACGGCAATTTGCAAGTTAATTTTCCAGGCACTTGGTTACTGCAAAACATGAAAGTCTGGATATGTCTTCCAAGTACAAAAGACAAACAGTTTTTGAAGACAGGAAGCTCAAAACCTAGATTAAGAGAAATACGCATCAGCCTGCGATACACATTCACGTACAGCACCCAAGTGCCAAGCTGTGACATTCTTTACCAGCACTGCAGTATCACAATAAGCTCCCAGTTGTACGTACCGAGCCAGCGGTGCCCGACATACAGCCCGCAGGCAGAACCCACAGCGCTTGAAGAATTTACTCAGTCAGCCTTCCCATTGCTCAGTCTACGGAACTCAGGTTCTCAGTTGAAGCTCTAGTTTGTAGGGCAATAGAGCTGCCGAATGCAAAATGGACATGGTACAAGAGAGGATTACACCAGCTGTTCCAAGTGAAAGGCTGAGGAGTCAAAATACTCCTCCTGCACACACAGTGCATGCCAGCAGTCATTCCTCTCCTGCCTACCATCAGTAGGATACCGAGGTGTGAGGGGGACACTACAGAACATCTTTAAGATGATCATTGGACACCAACTCAAAATGCAACTTACTCCACAGGAAGTATTTCAAGCCTAACTATAGGTTATTCCCCTTTCTAGGGATTCTGATTTTCCTTACATTATTTTAGTCTTTGTATAATGATATTGCATAGTCCATGAGCATACACATTACTAACACAAAGAATGTACAGGAAGCCAGATGCACAAAAGAGCTCAGCAGAAGCGGGGCACACGATGCAGTGTAGGGTTAGATAAATAGACGTACCTTTCTAAAGCTGATTTTTAACTGGAAAACCACAGCATGGTTTGCATCTTCCACAAAATGTTAGCTCTCATGGAAATACAAAAGAAACCCAGTACAGCCAAGATTGAATGCAGTTTTGTCTGTTTCATCCATGGTCAAATCTGTGGGCTCAGAATATTGCATGCAATGCACATCCATACCATGTACTCCTGAATATCCTTGCCACAAAGCAGCAGTTATCTGCAGGTTGAGCCCTTTTGCTTACATTATACTATTAAATACTCTCATGTTTTCAGTATTTCTTACTAGAAGTCCTTAGAACACTTGACATTCTCATCTTACATGGGGGGGGGTGGTGGTGAAGTTCTTAAAATTGCCAATCTCATTCTCCTTTCTCCAAAATGAGTGTTACCTAGGGTATATATTACGAGTGGATTTAAATGAAGATCTCTCCAAAGTGTTAACATCCTGCAATTTTTTTTTTAAAAACAGGTTTGATGATTATTCTTACCTTACAGCTGTGCTTCAGAATAAAGGCCAAATTTAGCTAATTGCCTGCAACCTAATTTCCCACATTCGTACACAGCAGCTTCCCAATTCCAGTGATGTGAGGTAGAGATTGAAAGCCACATGATTAGCTCACCAACTCAGAGGACTTCACAAGCATGTCTATTGGCAGAGGTCTGCTTCGATACCTGATGTGATTACAAGTTTCTTTTCTTATTTAATAGTAATAGACCCACTTCTGTGCTGCAGTCAAGCTGCATCAACAGCTATCTCCCTGTTACAGTCTGATTACCCCTTCAAAAGCAGCAGTAAGAGCATCTTTGCCTCACAGCTCACATACTGGGTCTAAATAGCTGGAAGTGAAATCTTGGTACAACCTGTTCTTTGGTCAGATAAGCACATGCTTCGTTTCAGATATAGCTGGAACACACAACAGGACATAGCTTCTGCTGAAATCTTTTCAGAGCTTTCTCTTCTGTAGAGGTAGAGTGCTTTGGAAGATGAATGCAGCTTCTTTTAAGTCCTGAAGAAACGGCTGCCAGAAGACATTTGCTGCTGGCCAAAGGTGAAAGCAGACCACACAGTTACCTTGTACCCCATTCAGATGTAACTGTGTAAGTATTTTCTAATTCAGGTCTTACCACCATACAATTCCTAAACCAAATCCAGTGAACTTTAATACAAGCAGTTTTAGCATGGTGAAGGAACTTTCAGCTCTTTACAACTTTTTTCTTGTACTGACAGCATGACTGATACAGGCTTGATGAAGTTTTAGTTCTAGACAGAACATGTTGACTAACAGAGGTAGCTTTTACTTCAAAAAATATCTTGAAAAATTTGTATTTTAACTATCTGTGAAACCATTGGTCAGAACAGAGGACACTACACACACCTGAAGTAAAACATGGGTGCAAGTCAAACATTGGATCTATCCCAGCTATCTTAAAAAAATTAAGTTACTATTTAGCACTTTGGTATCATTTCAAGTGAGGAAATACTAAACAAATCTAGGCTGCCATGTTGTTTGACATCAGCCTTCTCCCTACCTAAAGTAACAGATGTGCTTTTCTTCCCTTCTAAATACACAGTTAAAATAG